AAAAAAATGAGGTAAGAGTAATCGAGAGATGGGTGGATAAGCATGTGTTGTTGATGTTGTTCCCCCGGAGTGTAACTCTATGTTGCAAGTGTTCTTGAAATAAAACTGACCTTATTTCTTCATAAAAACACATGTGTAGACTTGGTGTGTAAAAAAAAATTGGCGAGCCAACTTAGGAGTTTTCAAGGAATGTGAACAGCAATGCGAGCAACAGAGAGGCATAAACGGAGCGGCTGCTGCAGCAAGCGCATGAGTGAGAGAGGAACGCAGAAGCTAAAATGAATCTTCGGCAGTTACAAGATCGACTCGGCGCAGACTTACCTCATCTGACGCTTGATCAACTTATGGAATTAGCTGTGTTTGCAAAAGTTCCAGGAGACATCGAATTAATGAGATTGATGATGTAATTTAAAAAGAAAAGGAGGAAGCAGCACGTCATTTCGTTGTCAGTGTGGTGGAATGGATTATAGAAATGAAAGGCCAGGGTGCTCGTGAGGCAATGAGGAGCGTAAGGAGGGAATGAAGATGAGCTGGAAAAGTTGAAAAAATAATATGCAGACCTCCAGCTTAGTTTCCAGAACTTTACAAAAGCGTTAGCGAGCAAAATTATGAGGCTGAGTGATCAAGTGCGCATAAAAGAGAACAGAGCATTTCCAGCTATATCCATGGAGGCTCAGCCACAGCCATCATGAGTGCCAGAGGTGACCAACAGGAGTAATTTCAAAATTTGGGACAAATAGGAGAGAGAGGTCAGTAAGATCTGCTTACACAAATTGAATGCATAAGATTGAAAGTGGAGTGCAGAAAGGCCATTGTGAGGCCGGCTGTGAGGGCCATCAGTCCAGGTCTTAACCTCCGGGATATGCTGGAAATTAAATGTCATCTGACCCATCTTTAATTAAAAACCATCCTTAAGGGCCATTTTAAAGAGGATAGTCCCACAGATTTGTATCACAAGCTGGTGAACATCACACAAGACAGCCATGAATCACCCCAAAACTTCTTGTTCAGAGCCATAGAACTGAAAGAGAAGCTACTAATCGCTTCCAGAGATGGAGAGGCTGAGGAACAGTACAGTGCTGAGCTCATCCAAAAGAAGTTCTTGCAATCTGTCAATACTGGACTCACAAGCAATCACATAAAATTCCAGTTGAAAGCTGATCTGTAAAATCAGTCCATTACAGATGAAGAGCTCATTGAGAAATTGAATGAGGCTGCTGGTATTGAAAATGAGAGACTACAGAAACAAAAGAAAAATACCTATGCAAAAGTGACTAAAGTAAATGAGCTCCAGGCCGATGTACAGGTACTACAAAGACTGGGAGAAGCAGCAGATGGACAAAAACTCACAGAGGGTGCCACAGCTAGAGGGAAAGAACAGAGGGTCCAGAGCTACACATCCAAACGTGAGGCTGAATTGTTTGAACATGTCAAACAGTTGAAAGAGGAGATAACAGAAATCAAAAACAGCATCCGTGAATCACAACCATCCTTCCATCATGGCCACCCACCTTCCAAAAAAAAATGCAAGTCATGTCAAGACAATGGGTGACATCTGGTGGTGAATAAACGGAAGTCCATGAACCGAATTCGTGACAGCATCAGTGAGCAATGTAATCACTGTTTTAAATGTGATCAGCCGGGACATTTTTCTAAAGGCTGTAGGGCACCACAGCATACAGTGAATGTGGATCAAGTGATGGCAGTGGATTCAACAGCACTTCACACCCAGAGCCAGAGACAATGTGGGTTGTGTGGTAACACCAGTGAGCTGCTCTGCAACAACATAAGTCACCTTGTACGGCAAGAAAATATACAGCAGCTCTCTGCAAGTGCAGACGGCCGGAGGGGTCCATCTATGCAGCCCACCTAAGTGGAAAGCTCAACTGCTGAACCTGATAGGAAAGAAATGTACTGTCAATTGCTTCCTGGATGGTGTCCCAACACAAGTATTATGGGATACAGGCTCACAGGTCTGCCTGATCAATGAAAAGTGGTGCAAAGAATATCTACCTCATACAAAAGTAAGACACAGAGGAGATACTGGGACCAGGCACATTGACTGGAAAGGCTGTAAAACAGACAGACATCCCTTTCAGCGGATGAATTGAAGTAAAGTTCCAGCTTGAGCCCTCTGGCGTATCCAGCACAGAGTTTCTTGTGCCATTGCTGGTAGCAAAAACATCTATTGTGGCAGAAGAGCCAATCATTGGATATAATGTTATTGAACATCTTCTACACGAGGAGAAAGAACAACCAACTCAAGCTATTTTTAAAACATTGACTGCAGCCTTCTCAGTAGATTGCAAGAGGGCAGAGGGGCTTATGTGATTGGTCCAACAGGGTGACTCAAACTTTAGAGAGGGAACCGTGAAAGGGAGCACACAAAGAACAAAAATTCTACCTGGTGAGATAAAGGTAGTTAAGTGTTCAGTGCATACCATTCCTCTGACATGTAACCAGGAAATGCTGTTTGTTTCAGTTGAGAGTCCTGACTGGCCTGAGGGACTGACAGTCACTGAGAATGTGGTCAAGCTCCAGAAGGGTACCCGATCAAAAGTCTTCATCCCAGTAAGTAATGACACATGTCATGATATTGCACTTCAACCACGCACAGTGTTAGGCCATGTACAGAGTGTAAAAGTGGTCTACCCTGCTGCTGCAAAACCTGTGGATTTTGAAGATGTAATGAGTCACAGGGAGGAAACGCCGGGAGTCGAGAAAGCTAAAATGACAAAAGAAGTGATTTCATAGTACATGGTGCAGCCCAATGCAGACCGATGGGATCCACCTGTTCTTGTGAGTCATTTCTTGCCTCAACAGCAGGATGAGGTAAGGAAGTTGCTGAGGGAGGAACGTGCTGCTTTCTCCAGAAATGATGAAGACGTTGGTTGTATCCCATTGCTGGAGTTGAAAATCAGACTGAAAGACACAACACCAATGAGGCGAACATACTGTACATGTCGGTACCAAAACCACTTCATAAGGAAGTCAAAGAATACCTAGAAGATCTCTTGAACCGTGGCTGGATTACAAAATGAAGGTCTGTATATTCATCACCCATTGTATGCGTGCAGAAGAAAGATGGGAGTCAGCGATTGTGCTGTGACTATCGCGAACTGAACCAGAAATCTATCCCAGACCACCATCCAATTCCCCGCATTCAAGACATGCTGGACAGTCTCAGTGGAAGTGCTTGGTTTTCCATCTTAGACCAAGGGAAAGCTTACCACCAAGGATTTTTGGAGGAAATAGCCGACCATTGACAGCTTTTATTACACCTTGGGTGCTCTATGAATGGGTCCGCATTCCCTTTGGCCTGTCTTCAGCACCAGCAGAGTTCCAACACTGCATGGAGGAATGTCTAATAGGGCTGAGAGATGAGATATGCCAGTCATATTTGGATGGCACTCTAGTTCACAGCAAAACCTTTGAAGACCACCTTAGAGACTTGCGGAAAATCTTGCAGCGCTACCAACAACATGGAATTAAGCTGACGGCAAGAAAATGTGAAGTCTTTAAGAATTATGTAAGGTACCTGGGAAAGCTTGTGTCCAAAGATGGACATACAATGGACCCTACAGACCTAGCACCTGTTCAGGCCTTGCGAAAGTGCAAACCAGCAACGGTTGGGGACCTTCGGAAGTTGTTGGGATTTATACCCGCTCTACGACCTTCTGAGCCTGGAAAAGGGTGCATGTCAGAGCACCAGGAGGTGCTCTGCCAGTTGACTGATCTTCCTACACTACGTCCTGTTTTGGGTTACCCAAAGTTTGAAGAGCCATTCATCCTTCACTGCGATGTATCCCAAGAAGGACTGGGATCAGTGTTATATCAAAGACAGGAAGGCAAGCTCCGGGTAATTGCTTACGCATCCAGAACTCTAACTGCCACAGAAAGAAACTATCATCTGCATTCAGGAAAGCTGGGTTTCTTGGCCATGAAGTGGGCAATATGTGAACGCTTCAGAGATTACCTCTACTATACTTCTTTTTTTTGTCGTCTACACCGACAACAACCCTTTAACATATGTGCTCACAACAGCCAAACTAAATGCCACTACACATCGCTGGGTTGCAGAGCTGGCTGATTTTATTTTCATGATTAAGTATCGTCCAGGGAAAACCAACACTGATGCAGATGGTTTGTCATGCATGCCACTGGGGATGGAGGAATATATGCAGAAGTGTTTGGTGGAAGTGAGTCCGGATGTTATCAGCTGTGTGACCAAAGCTCTCAGTATTCAGTCAAAAGAACACACTCTGTGGATGTGTCCGGTGACCATCGAGACAGCACTAGGTGAAGAAGAGGATAACCGGTTGAACTTCGGCAGAGGAGTGCTGAGGGATGCCCAGGAACAGGATCCAGTGATCAGCCCTGTGTTGAACTGCATAAGAACAAACCAATGACTTAGAGACAGAGATTGAACTGGTCATGATGGCCGGGCAGTACTGATGCGGGAGAGAAAAAGGTTGTTCCTGGATGAGCATGGGGTACTTCACAGGAAAACAGCAACCTTATCACAGCTGGTGCTGCCCAAGAAGTTCCATGGCTTGGCCTTTAAAGAGTTGCACAAAAATATGGGTCACCTCGGTGTAGAGAGGATGCTCCACCTCATGCGAGACAGATTTTCCTGGCCACATATAATTTAATTCCTTACATTTATATAGCGCCTTTCTGGGCACTCAAATTGCTTTACATAGAAGGGGGAATCTCCTCAACCACCACCAGTGTGCAGCATTCACCTGGATGATGCGACGGCAGCCATATTGTGCCAGAACGCCCACCACACACCAGCTTATTGGTGGAGAGGAGACAGAGTGATGAATATGGGGATATGGGGATGGTTAGGAGGCCATGACGGTCAGAGGCCAATGGGCAAATTTGGCCAGGATGCCGGGGTTACACCCCTACTCTTTTTCGAAGGACATCCTGGGATTTTTAATGACCACAGAGAGTCAGGACCTCGGTTTAACATCTCATCCGAAGGAGAGGGACAGGGAGACGCAGAGGGACATCAAACATCATGTCTTACGAGTATGTCGCTGTCTCAATACAAAACGCCCCAACAAGCCAAACAGAGCACCACTCACCAATATTGAAACAACACACCCCTTTGAACTGGTTTCAGTTGACTTTCTTGATCTGGAGAAATACAAAGGCGGGTATGAATATATCTTGGTCATTATGGACCATTTTACTCGCTTTGCTCAAGTGTATGCATTGATTGATTGATTGCACCATGACCAGGGGAAGGAGTTTGACAACCAGTTGTTCGCACAACTCCAGCAGTATAGTGGTATTAAAGGCTCCAGAACAACACCCTACCACCTGCAGGGGAACGGTCAGGTTTTCAGCGATTTAATAGGACGCTCTTGTCCATGTTGGACACATGCAAAACAGAGGTAAGATGCAAACAGTGTCTTTATTGTGTTCCAATGAATAACCATTGCTTCCAGTTAGCTTCCTGTGGCGTCAATCGACTAGTTCACAGAGTAAAAATATCAAGTCCAAATCTTGTCAACACATAATCCAATAACAATGGTCAACACGAAGAAAGATCCTGAACGGTCAAAAACTGTGCTTCCCTACTACCAATACACACCTGTCCCATTAACCAATTGCCCTATTGCCCTAATATAGCATGCCAGAGCAACACCCAATGGACACATATAAAATTGCACTAAAATGGCTCCTACATTGACTTTTTCCTTTTATAATAATAATCTTTAGATGTTTATAATCAAATTAATTAATAAGTAATGAGTAAGTAATGGAGTCTACTTTCACCAGCCCTTTTTAAAGTTTATATGAATGAATTATATTAAGAATTAAGTGAATGTAAGACTGGATGTATGCTTCTTAATAATATGATCAATCTTTTTATGTATGCTGATGATTTAGTTGTTTTTTCCCAAAGTAGTGTTGGTTTTCAACAGCTGCTAAATATTTGTTCTGATTATTGGATTAGATATGATGTGCAATATAATACATAAAAGATTGCTGCTATGATATTCAGAACAAAAGAAGATAAAGATCTTAATTTCCCTAATTAACTGTCAGAGCCAGTATTAAATGTGTGCACTAAAACAAAATATTTGGGTCATATCATTAATTATTAAATGAGTGATGATGATGACATGTAAAGGAAGTGTTGTATGCTATATACTCAAGCAAATATGATGGTGAGAATATTTTATACGTGTTCGGATCAGGTAAAGATAAACCTATTTTGTGCATATTGTAAATTTTTTTGTACTGCTCCTTTTGTGGGTTAAGTTTAAAAAAGAGAGCCTATGTGAGCTTCAGGTTGCTTACAATGACTGTATTAGGGTTCTGCTGAAGAAACCAAGGTGGAGCAGTGCAGCTGATCTATTCTGTAAGGCAAGAGTTCAATCCTTTCTGGCTTTAATGAGAAATTTGATGCATAAATTTATTTATCGGTTGGATGTTTCACAGGAAGCTATTATAATTATATTATAATAGTTATTGTCAAATTATAGGCTTACTCTGGTGTGATACCAGTCACTTATGAGAAAACATTGGTAGAATTGTCTTTTTTAATGTGTTTCGTACTGTTTTGTATTGTTTTAGTGTTTTGCTAATGGACCTTGAGTCTGGAAATAAAGTTGAATTAATTAATTAATATATGTGTGTGTGTGTGTGTGTGTGTGTTTTCACTACTCACTGCTGTCTGTGTGCACTTGGATGGGTTAAATTCAGAGGACAAATTACAAGTATGTGTTATCATACTTGGCTTATATATCACTATCCATATCACTGTTTACTTTAATAAGAGTCAAGTGTGTCGAAGCTAAACTCGCTTTACAGACTCGCAGGCATGCCAGTTTTACACACGTCACTCAAACACAGAACCAGGAAACCGGAATCAGTTCAGAGAAAGAGAAAGTGAAAGTGTGGTTGAGCTGTTGTGTGTTCGTGTCTGTATTCATTCAGTAAAATGGCAGAAGCCAGATTTTCTCAGGATGAGTTCACATGTCCAGTGTGTCTGGATCTCCTGAAGGATCCAGTGACCATCCAGTGTGGACACAGTTACTGTGAGAACTGTATTACAGACTGCTGGGATCAGGAGGATCAGATGAGAGTCTACAGCTGCCCTCAGTGCAGACAGGCCTTCAGTCCAAGACCTGTTTTATCTAGAAACCGCATGCTGGCTGAAGTGACAGAGAAACTGAAGAAGAGGAAACGTCCTGCTGACTGTCACGCTGGAGCTGGAGATGTGCAGTGTGATGTCTGTACTGGAATAAAATACAAAGCCGCCAAGTACTGTCTGATGTGCCTGAACGCTTACTGTCAGAATCACTTCGAACAACATGAGAGTTGGTTTAGAGGAAAGAGACACAAAGTGACTGATGCTACTGGACAACTGCAGGAGATGATCTGCCAGAAACATGAGAAGCTCCTTGAGGTTTTCTGTCGCACTGACCAGAAATATATATGCATGCTGTGTACGATTATTGAACATAAAAACCACGACACTGTATCAGCTGCAGAACAGACGACAGAGAAACAGGTATTTAAAACTAAACACTGATTAAATATTGCTGACACTCAAAATTGTTCTCAATAGTTTAATATGCCCTATATTAACAGCTTACAGCATTCACACGTCACACAGCAGCAGAAATGAACAGCAGTTTCACTGTTGGCTGAAATGCACCAGAAAACTTCATGAACACAAACTTTCACTAAATAGGCTTTGATTAAACATAAAATGATGGAGTGAACCATTCATCTGTTCTTTGACAAAATATATACTTTCATCACTCAAAATACAACACAGCAGAAACACTGTCCGTCTGAAGCTGTTTCGGATTAACTTTTATAATACTTACACTTACATTCATTATTATCTGTTTGTCCTGCAGAAGCAGCTGAAGGAGACGCAGAAGACGCTCCAGCAGAGAATCCAGCAGAGAGAGAAAGATCTTCAGCAGCTGAGAGAGGCTGTGGAGTCTCATAAGGTGAGTCTGGAGAAGAAGAGAAGTTTGTCTCAGTCTCAGTTCAGACTCACTGAAGCCTGAATCACTGTGTGTCCTAACAGCGCTCTGCACAGACAGCAGTGGAGGACAGTGAGAGGATCTTTACTGAGCTCATCCGCTCCATTGAGAGACGCTGCTCTGAGCTGATACGGCTGATCAGAGATCAGGAGAAGACTGCAGTGAGTCGAGCTGAAGGACAACTGGAGCGACTAGAGCAGGAGATCAATGATCTGAGGAGGAGAGACGCTGAGCTGGAGCAGCTTTCACACACACAGGATCACATCCAGTTCCTGCAGGTAACACAGATCTAGAAGAACAGGATCATAGAGGACTTGAGCAGATCCTGCTGTGACAGGAGACTCACAGAGAAACATTTCATTGAAACATTTCATTATTATATAATCATCAGTCAGACTCTCATCTCATCATGTTCTTTTGAAAGAGACACCGCTTACAAATGGCTTTCAGCTCTGGAAATCTCTTAGGAATCATTTCTCTCAGCTCTTTCTTCTGAAGAAATATTTAGCTGTCAAACACCACTAGCGCCAAAACTTCACTAACATTTCAGCTTTTGACCTTATTTTTGCTTCTTATTTATTAAATCACGGTGAAACCAGTGAACATGATAATACCGATTCTGAGTAACATTCATCAAAAATTGAATCAGATGATCCTCAAACCCAATAAAATCTTTATTGGCCTGTAACGCATGGATCAATTTGACCATGAAGGCCCCAAACATGAAGTCAGGCTGTATATTAGCAATGCTTCAGTGTATTGAAACCAAACCAAACCTGAACGTGTCTTAAGGGTCCTTGTGAAGTTTCAGTGTCTCTAAAGTTATAAATAATGGTCAATCTAATCGTAGCCTTTGAGCTGCTTTTCCTGAGCAAATCTACTCAACCCTACAGTGAGACTCTATTGATGTGCTTGAGCTGTTAGATGGACATTTATGTTCTTAGCAGATGTTTTATCATTCAAACTATTTCCTAGAAAGTTCACATATAGTGTAAGTGGCAAACACTAGAATCTGTAGCTCTAATGTGATATAATGAATATGAGAAGAATAAAGCTGATGCTGTGAAAGTGCTGGATTGAGGTGAGCTACTAAAGATCAGTCGAGTCAAATCTGATGTTCCTGCAGGTTATTGGGTGAAGTGTGGAGCTGATGAGTTTTGATTTCTGTTTTCTGTAGAGTTTCCAGTCTCTCTCAGCACCTCCTGAATCTACAGACGTAAATGATGATCCCTTCATTTCTCTCGTCTCTTCTGATGCGCTGAGAGAATCTGTCCGTCAGCTGAGAGACAAACTGGAGGATTTCTGCAAAGAGGAGCTCAAGAAGATCTCAGACAGAGGTAAAGTCCTGGAGATGCATCTGCTCTCCAGTCCATCATCATCTCATATCATGGAGAACATTATATTAGAAATGTCTTAGGAATGGATGCAGGATCATGAGAATCACACTGTTCATGTCTGTTGATTTCCACAGTCACATTCACCAACATTGTTCCCAGAACCAGGAACGACTTCCTACAATGTAAGTCAGTAAGAAACGAGCAGGAAAAACTCACTGAGTGTCTTCATGTTCTTCCTGTAGAAGGTGAAAGAAGTGTTTCTGAATTGATGATGTAAATGATGATTTGCACAGGATATCTGCTCATCTGTACTGAGACACTGATGATACACTGAACATGAAGAGTTCAGCTACATGAAAAGTTCAAACAGATTCATAATTCCTGATTCTGATGTGTTTTTTCTCCATCAGATTCCCATAAGCTCACTCTGGATCTGAACACAGTGAATAAACACCTCCGTCTTTCTGAGAGCAACAGAGTGATTACTGTCTCTTACACAGATCACCAGTATCTTGATCATCCAGACAGATTTGATGAGTGGTCACAGGTGTTGTGTAGAGAGAGTGTGAGTGGACACTGTTACTGGGAGCTGCAGTGGAGTGGAGATGTATATATATCAGTGTCATATAAGAGCATCA